AACTCTCTTACATCTTTTTCTCATACCTAACCCTGTAGAGATTTACCTATTTATAACCATACAAACTTACCCATTAAAATCTTTCTCCTCTTAGAATCTTTCTCTTCATGTAAGTCAAACTTACCTATTAAGAATCTCTTTTCATTTAGAATTATTCTTTTGTAAGTCAAACTTACCTACTAAGAATTCTCTTTATCTTAAAATTTTTCTTTTGCAAGTCTTCTTGTCCATCAAGCAATATCTAACAAATCTTAAACAAATCTTTAACAAATCCCAAACAAATCTCTTATAGGATTTGAGTCAATATTCCCAACAATCTTCATATTGACTCAAATTTCATCAATCATCTGTCTTCATGCTAGATATGCTTGGCTCCACCTGAAATAAAAAGTCTCACAATCATCTTCTCTTATGTGTCTTAACGCTTCATACAAACTGATCTTCAATCCTCAAAACTTGAACTCAAACTCTTCTCTTGAATCGAGCTCCTCTAAGCTTACTTCTTCATATGTCTTAAACCAATCTCTTCTCATATCTCGAACTATCAACTCTTTTCATGTCTCGAATCATCAGCTCTTCCCATATCTCGAACATTTAACTTTTCTCATGTTTCAAACTTTTAACTTTGATATCACTTGTTAGGGAACACCACAGCTCTGATACCATTTGTTGGGCTAAAGGCTTCTAATCCAATCACACCAGTGAAAGTGAAATTAAACAATAAATCAAACACACAAGAGATAATAATTTAACATGGTTCGATCCAATCAATCTACGTCCACGGATGAGAAACAAGATCCACTAGTTATAAAAAATTACAAATATACATCAAATCATCAACCTCACTCAACAATTAATACCATAAGACACTCTCAATCTCCTCTAGTCCTATGGAGTATTCTCAACTCAAACAAACACAAACTCAAACCTTTGTGTACTCTTTCAATATAACCAAATACATACCCATATGCTCCCATACATCATACATTTATGGACCCTCTCAATCTCCTTTAGTCCAGTCACAAACCAACATACACACCCATAAGACATAGAGCTCCAATACTCGTATGTGGTGTCTATCCCACAAAATCCTATAACTCTTTTACATATTTTTCTCATACATAACCCTATAGAGACTTTACCTATTTATAACCATAAAAACTTGTCCATTAAGAATCCCTTTCCTCTTAGAATTCTTCTCTTGTAAGTCAAAATTTACCTATTAAGAATATTTTTCTTTTTAAAATTCTTCTTTTGCAAGTCAAACTTACTTATTAAGAATTCTCTTTATCTTAGAATTCTTCTTTTACAAGTCTTTTTATCCATCAAGCAATATCTGACAAATCTCAAACAAATCTCTCACAAATCTCAAATAAATCTCTTATAAGATTTGAGTCAATATTTTCAACAATCTCCACCTTGACTCAAATTTCATCAATCATATGTCTTTATGCTAGATATGCTTAGCTTCACCTACAATAAATGTCTCACAATCATCTTCTCTTATGTGTCTTAATGTTTCATACAAACTGATCTTTAATCCTCAAAACTTAAACTCAAAGTTTTTTTTTAAATCGAGCTCCTCTAAGCTTACTTCTTCTCATGTCTTAAACCAAGCTCTTCTCATATCTCAAACTGTCAACTCTTTCCATGTCTTGAATCATCAGCTCTTCCCACATCTCGAACATTTGACTCTTCCCATGTTTTAAACTTTTAGCTTTGATACCACTTGTTGAGAAACACCACAGTTCTGATACCATTTGTTGGGCTAAAAGCCTCAAATCCAATCACACTAGCGAAAGCGAAATCAAACAATAAATTAAACACACAAGAAATAATAATTTAACATGGTTCGATCCAATCAACCTACATCCATAGATGAGAAATAAGACCCACTAGTTATAAAAAATTACAAACATATATCAAATCATCAATCTTACTTAACAATTAATACTCATAAGACACTCTCAATCTCCTCTAATCTTATGGAATATTCTCAACTCAAATAAACATAAACCCAAACCTTGTGCACTCTTTCAACATAACTAAACACATACCCATATGCTCTCATATATCATACCTATGTGGACCCTCTCAGTCTACTCTAATCCACTCAGAAACAAACATACACACCCATAAGACGTAGAGTCTCAATACTCCTATGAGGTGTCTATCCCATAAAATCTTACAACTCTCTTACATCTTTTTTCATACTTGACTCTGTAAAAACTTCACCTATTTATAACCATACAAACTTACCCATTAAGAATCTCTCTCCTCTTAAAATTCTTCTCCTATAAGTCAAACTTACCTATTAAAAATCTTTTTTATCTTAGAATTCTTCTTTTGCAAGTCTTCTTGTCCATCAAGCAATATCTGATAAATCTCAAACAAATCTCTAGCAAATCACAAACAAATCTCTTATAAGATTTGAGTCAATATTCTCAACAATCTCCACCTTGACTTAAATTTCATCTATCATTTATCTTCATGCTAGATATGCTTGACTCTACCTATAATAAAAGTCTCACAATCATCTTCTCTTATGTTTCTTAACGCTTCATACAAATTTATCTTCAATCTTTAAAACTTGAACTCGAACTCTTCTCTTAAATCGAGCTCCTCTAAGCTTACTTCTTTTCATGTCTCAAACTAAGCTCTTTCCATATCTCGAACTATCAACTCCTTTCATGTCTCGAATCATCAGTTCTTCCTATATCTCAAATATTTGAATCTTCTCACGTTTCAAACTTTTAGCTTTGATACCACTTATTGGGGAATACCACAGCTCTGATACCATTTGTTGGGCTAAAAACCTTCAATCTAATCACAACCAACGAAAACGAAATCAAACAATAAATCAAACACACAAGAGACAATAATTTAACGTGGTTCGATCCAATCAACTTATGTCCACAGATGAGAAACAAGATCCACTAGTTGTAAAAAATTACAAACATATATCAAATCATCAATCTCACTCAATAATTAATACTCATAAGACACTTTCAATCTCCTCTAATCTTATGGAGTATTCTCAACTTAAATAAACACAACTTAAACCCTTGTGCACTCTTTCAACATAATCAAACTATACCCATATGCTCTCATACATCATACCTATGTGAACCCTCTCAATCTCCTCTAGTCCACTCACAAACAAATATACATACCCATAAGACGTAGAGCCCCAATACTCCTATAGGGTGTCTATCTCATAAAATCCTACAACTCTCTTAGATCTTTTTCTCATACCTAATCCTGTAAGATTGCACCTATTTATAACCATACAAACTTGCCTATTAAGAATCTTTCTCCTTTTAGAATTCTTCTTCTATAAGTCAAACTTGCCTATTAAGAATCCCTTTCCTTTTAGAATTTTTTTTTTGCAAGTCAAACTTACCTATTAAGAAATCCTCTTTATCTTAGAATTCTTCTTTTGTAAGTCTTCTTGTCCATCAAGCAATATCTGACAAATCTCAAACAAATCAAAATAAATCTCTTATTTAATTTGAGTCAATATTCCCAACAATCTCTACCTTGACTCAAATTTCATCAATCATCTGTCTTCATGCTAGACATGCTTGGCTCCACCTGCAATAAAAGTCTCACAATCATCTTCTCTTATGTGTCTTCACACTTCATACAAATTGATCTTCAATCCTCAAAACTTAAACGTAAACTCTTCTCTTGAATCGAGCTCCTCTAAGCTTACTTCTTCCCATGTCTCAAACCAAGCTCTTCCTATATCTCGAACTGTCAACTCTTCCCATGTCTCGAATCATCAGCTCTTTCCCATATCTCGAACATTTGACTCTTTTCACGTTTCAAACTTTCAGCTTTGATACTACTTGTTGGGGAACACCACAGCTCTGATACCATTTGTTGGGCTAAAAGCCTCTAATTTAATCACATCAGCGGAAGTGAAATCAAATAATAAATCAAGCACACAAGAGACAAAATTTAATGTGGTTCGATCCAATCAACCTACGTTCATGGATGAGAAACAAGATCCACTAGTTGTAAAAAATTACAAACATACATCAAATCATCAATCTCACTCAACAATTAATACTTATAAGCACTCTCAATCTCCTTTAGTCCTATGAAGTATTCTCAACTCAAACAAACAAAAACCCAAACTCTTGTGCACGCTTTCAACATAACCAAACACATACCCATATGCTCTCATACATCATACTTATGTGGACCTTTTCAGTCTCTTCTAGTCCATTCTCAAATAAACATACACACACATAAGACGTAAAGCTCCAATACTCTTATGGGATGTCTATCTCATAAAACCCTACAACTCTCTTACATATTTTTCTCATACCTAACCCTATAGAGACTTCACCTATTTATAACCATACAAACTTGCCCATTAAGAATCCCTCTCCTCTTAGAATTCTTCTCCTATAAGTCAAACTTGCCTATTAAGAATCCCTTTCCTTTTAGAATTTTTCTTTTGTAAGTCAAACTTATTTATTAAGAATCCTCTTTATCTTAGAATTATTCTTTTGTAAGCTTCTTATCCATCAGCAATATCTGACAATCTCAAATAAATCTCTAATAAATCCCAAACAAATCTCTTATAAGATTTGAGTCCATATTCCTAACACTAGCATCTTGTTGGGAAAAACACACCCACGCGTAGCAACCACACACAAAATAACAAGCTCAAATCAAGAATAAAACACACAAATATATTTGGTTCGGCCCAACTCAAAATGGCCTACTCCAAACCTAATCCACTATCAAATAAATCTTTATAATTGTGAGACTTGTAGAATAAGAAAAGTCTCCTAAAAATCCTTACTCAAAACTTAACCCCAAACCCAATTACACCCTTTAATAGCCTACTTACTTAGCTATTCTCTTGGTGTCTAACTCTCTGGGATTACTAAACTAAAATCAAAACATCTTATTTATAAGTTTGAAACCCTTTATACCTTTATTAAACTCCCGATGTGGGATACAAGACAAACTCAAACTCACTTAACTTTCGATGTGGGATTCTGAAATTCACGGCAAATCCCAACACATCTGGCTGTAGAGCAAAATTCAACCAAACTTCTCTCCCATTCTGATGTTGAATAAAGGAAAAGACAATTGGTCTAAGCTTCAATAGTTTCTGCCAACTCAAACTTCTTTGCAGAGAATTAAGAGACTTACCATAATTAATTAAGCAAATCAAACTATATAGTGGCCTTGGGGATATTGTACACAAGAATTTCTTCTTCATTTGTGTTATTGACCTTGAAAATTGTTCACTAATAGAGTTTCCTTTTCGTTTTTTTATTCCGGGTTTTAGAGACGGTAAGGATAATACTAAAGATGAAAAAGATTTTGGCAAGCGAAACAGACGACAATGGTCGGAGTCCACTTCACTTTGCTGCACATTTAGGTTATCGTTCAATTGTGAAACAAATATTAGAATGCGACAAATCTACTGCCTACATAGCCGACTTCGAGGGAAAGATGACCGCTCTTCACGTGGCCGCAAGGCAAAGCCGTGCATCAATAATGAAAGAGATTATCCGCCATTGTCCAGATTGTTGTGAACTAGTGGACAAAAGAGGCTGGAATTTTCTGCACTTTGCTGCGGTTACTCTATATGGTCTTCCACTGCGTCGATTCTTTGGAGATGATATTGGTATCAGATATGTATCAATGGAAAATCTTTTAAGTCAGAAGGATGAACATGGCAACACGCCTCTCCAACTGCTCGTAACTTCTCGCCCTAATCGGTATGGAACTGCTATGATGTGTACAAATGATAAACTGGAACTTGGCAAGGAAAATCTTACTATGAAAGAGGAGGTAAGTCCTCTGTCCATCCTACTAATTGCATTGTGGACATTTACCTTAGTATGGCTTAATTACATTTGAAGATTTTATTTAACATTAAAATATAACATTATCAATAACATTAGTATTCAGTTTCTGATACATGTATAACATTGATTTTTATGCAATCAATGTGACAACAAAACTTTTTTTTTTTTTTTAAGGAAAGATCTGGACGAAGTTATTTATGTAAAATTTGTAAATTTTTTTATTAAAAAAAATTAAATAAAAACAATATGGATAGATTGAATCATCTGGTTACATAGATCAAATTTCTTGTCTATCTAATATTTGCTTTCCTTGAAATAATAATGAAGCTTGCTTGCAGGAACAAATTTTGAATTTGTTGGCAGAGCTTGGTAGTGGAGAGGTGGCAGGGGTACCGTTTCGTCCCATACGACTGCATAGGAGGGCTCCGTTTGGTTTCGAGAAAGCAACAGAGTTACATTTAGTAGTGGCGGCGCTAATAGCAACAGTAACCTTTGCTGCAGCATTCACCATACCCGGCGGCTACAAAACTGAAAAAGGCGTAGATGAGGGCACTGCTATCCTAATTCGTAATGCAGCTTTTAATATGTTTGTTATCTCCGATGCCATAGCCTTGGTTTCCTCTCTTTTAGCTGTCCTCTTCCACTTTCTTATGGCACGGCCTGGATCTCAAAAGTCATTTGCTGAATATCCCTACGCCTATGGATGCACTCTCTTTGCAGTTGGAGCAATGGTGATAGCTTTCATTACAGGTGCATTTGCGGTCTTAGAACCTTCCTTGGGGCTTGGTATTATCACTTGTCTCATTGGCTCAAGCTTCTTTCTGGTTGCCCTTTGTGTGGATAGATCATTTGCTTTGTTGGATGTGTTTTAATTTGGCATGATGAGTGGCGCATGCCCATATTAGTTTGTTAACATAAATTTGTTGTTAATAATACTTGCCTTGAAGATATCTTTTATTTTAGTAAATTAAATATAAGAGTTATTATATGATACATTGTAAGTAGAGTTTTTTAACTTCACAAATGGAATTGAAAAATTGACACATATTTCATTTCTTTTTTAATAAAATTTTACATTATTTTTAATATACCTAAAGATTATGTGTTATCCTGCTAATTTCATTCATGAAATCTAAAAAAATTTTACTATTAATATATCAGATAATTTCTTAAATAATTTTTCTAAATATGTTTCCATGTGAATCTTATTGCCCCTGTTGTCTCCACTTTCTCTGTTGTCTTATTGAATTTCATCTACCTGAAAATAAACTAGTTAAAATATTAAAAAGGCTTTAATACTTTTGAAATTTCTCAAATAAGTTATTTTTTTTTATTGTACCAAAATGAACTCTTAAAATATTATTTTTAATTAAGTTCTTATATTTCATGAAAACTACTAAAATTCCTTGGCAATTAGTGGTTTAATTAGACAAAAATTATAATTTAAGGGCTTTATTAGAGAAACATATATAATACTTTAAAGAAACTCCTTTTATCTTATGATTGATTCTTCGATTAAAAGTTATCAAAGGACATAATTAGTTTGCAAGAAGTTGTCTTGGATACCATTAATTAAGATCTGAAAAATGAAAAAATATATGATTTTTTAAATTTATATCAACAATAAATTTACAGATTTATAAATTATAACACCTTACTTGATCCCTTTCTCTTTGAACCTGAATAGATTCCCGATGCACCTCTCTTCGGTACTCTGATCTCCCTTTAAATCTTGAAATGTTAACACCAATTTAATGGTCTAAGAGCCAAGTACCATTTAAACTATCCACTTCCCTTTTAGCACTTCCATACACTACACATCGAAAGAAACCAAACTTTCTCCCCTGAGAGCTTCTTTTTTGTGGAATGAAGACATCAACAGCTTGTCCATGGTAATGAAAGATATCTTGCATCCACCTCCAATGGACTTCTGGTGGAATGTTGTTGACAAAGACAGAGAAAACTTTCATGACATGCACCTAATTCGCTATATCCAATTAACTTTTCTGGCAACATATCTTATAATATATATACATATAATTATTAATAAACCTGATTTAAGATATAATATGTCGACGCCAAGAGGGGCTCGTTCAGACTAAGAAAGAGTCCAATCATAGAAAAGTTGTGACCTGCCTCCATCAGCTAATAACACCACTAACATGGAAATGCAAAGACAAAGCTTTTACGATGTTAAAAACCTGGTGTGGTTTTTGGAAGGAGAAATATTAAAAAAGGAAGAAGAAAGAGTTGTGTTCTTACTATTTAGAATAGCAAAAAATTACTATGTTTTTAATTTTATATTAAGTATTTTATAATATAAATAATTGAATATATTTTTATTCATTATTTAAATATATGTTTTTATCCATTTATTTAACTAAAAATTTAAAAAATAGATTAAGATGAATTTTTTAAAGTTTTTAAATCAAAATTTTTAAATGATAATTCGTATATACTCTTATCAATTTAAACAAATATAAATATTTTAAATGAATTTAAATAATAAAATAAATAATCATATATCTTTTTATTCGTTTTCAAATCGATATTTGAACATTTTGAATATTTATTATGATTTAATGATTTAATTTAAAAAATTTTTATATTTAATTAATTTGATAATATATAATGTGATTATTTAGTGTTGTTTTATGTGTCATCCAAAAAGATTATATGCATAAAAATTTACGTGATAAATCTTATCAAATATATATTATAATAAAATATTATATATAATTATAAACAAATACAACGAATTTTTTTCTGCAAACTTTCATAACGGAGGGTTTTATTTAATTATTTCTCTAAGAGAAGATAAAAAATAATTATTTTAACTGAAGGTACTTTTAGTTTATTTAACTTTTCAAAGATTATATTATTTTTGTGAAAATTTATATTAATTTTATTGCTATTTCCCCATTTCTGTTTTCACTACTCTTCCGATAGAAATAGGATTACGAAAAGGGTTTACTCTTTGTTTTTCACTAAAAAAGAAAATATGATAGGGATTTATAGTGATTTACGCTGAATGGTTTTTGTAACCGGGTACAATTCAAAACATCATCATTTATTATTGGTTACGATGATTTTATGTAAAACTAAAATCTAATTAACTATACTAGTTTGCGAAATATATGTACCAGGACTACTGCTAGTAATTTTCAGGGTAACTCGTTTCTCTAGACATATAACTTAGTTGTCTATGAGTTTGGGTTCGGTTAATATCTGCCAGAGTCTCGGTCAACTCACGTTAGCTCATTTAAATTCATATTTATTAAAATTTGTTATTGAAATATTAAAAAAAAAAAGCATTTGTTGTTTTAATATTTTAAAATATATTTTAAAATTAAATTTATTTGAAATATTTTATAATCAAATATATTTTTTAAGCCAGATTTTTCCTTCACATTGATCTCATCATCTTTGAATAAGTTCAACAAGTTATGTACGTACATAAATTTCCACACTCATAAATATCAACGTGCTCCAATTCCAACGTTGGGGTTGATGGAATGTTGATGGTCTTTCCGTCTCATTTGCATACATCCATCTGCCTCTTGCCCATTTGTCGAAGACCTAAATGAATTAATAAATTGTAGTTGACCTCAAGTCAATTTCTAATCAAATTTGGTAAAGTCACTAAAGTAGAAAAACGAAATAACGCTCCGTTTGGTAATTAGAAAAATCGATTCTAAAAGTCATTTTTCGCATAGTTTAGTATTTAGAAAAATATTAATAGCTTGATCAACGAAATTTATTTTTGGGTCAACAAAAGAAATTATATCATAACATGCAAAAGTTATTTTTTCTTTTTTTTTTTTTCAGTAAAAGATAATTTTCATCACTTTTATTATCTCAAATTCTATTGAAAAACTATGATCTCTCTCATCTATTCTCCATCTCTAGCCACGATCAAAACTTACAAATTTCCCTTGATTTTTCACTCTTTCATTTTCTTTTTCTTTTTTTGTTTTTGCACATATCTTCTATTTGCTTCGTAGGTGTCTTGTTGTAGCATCAGCTACTTTGTGGCTCGCTTCAGGTAAAGCATTTTTGTTCAGCACTAGGTTCAGTTTTAAGTTTTAAGTTTAACAAAAATCTTAACCCACTAAAATCCAACCCCAAAATAAATAAATAAAACCCTCAAAATTTATCCTTCCACACTCTCCAAACAGTAAATCTAGTCATTCCACAGCTTCCATCCGATGGCAGCCTTAAACATATCCGGTGCCCACTGCCAAATGCTAGAATCGATGTACTCAGTGGTCGCTTTACTCTTCATTTTAGTACCCTGCATCGAACTATGCAACACCACCATCAACATCTACCGTCTAATCCAATACGACATGTCCAGTTCCTTTTTCAGATCCTACACTAAACCAACAAAACTCACTGAACCAGCTAAGGATCCTAAATACTAAAGCATGTTGGTCCAATGACCTAGTCTTTGCCATCTCTTTCAGTACAAACGGCAGCTTTTAATTCCATTTTCTAGTAAAATTTTAGCACGATAAACAAAATTCTTAACAAATTATCAACCCAATATTTGTTAACAGCATGTAAAATGAAAATAAAAAAAAGGACAACAGAGGCCACTCACTTCACTGATTTTATAAGAAAGAAGGAGACAGTGAGCGAGAGGAGAGAGGAGAAAGGAGAAAGCAAATCAGACAGTGAAAGGGAAGAATTTAGGGAAGAAGGGAACGGGGAAATAGGCGTGCATCATATTTAAATTAGGGAAAAGTTGTTGGCGTTAACAATAATAAATGCTACTAAAATGACATTTAGCAGTGTTTGTTAAGCAAAACGCCGCTAAATATATACTATTTGCAGCATTTTCAAACAAAACGCTATCATGTTTGTGGCGTTTTCAATAAAAATGCAGTTAAACAACAAAAAAGTTTTAAGATAAATTTTATGAAATTATATTTTCAAAATAATAAAATTGAATAATTATTTTGTGGGATTTTATTACATAAATGCCATTAATTTTATATTAACACATTAAATAACGATATTTGTTAGGATACGTTGCTAAAAAAATGCCATCAAATTCCCATTTTCTTAATGTTAGTATTTGGTTGAACTTCTGTTTAAAATAGTTATTTGAAGTTTTTAAGCTTTATATCTCTATTTAAAAAGTTTTTTAAAATTTTTTGAAAGTCGCATGTCTTTATTTAGAGGATTCTTTTAAAAAAATTTTGAGTGAATCGAACACAATAATTATTTATGTCTTTGCATCATTTATATTTCAAGAGTAGCTGTAGATACCTTATTTCATTCAATTGTTTTGATAATTTTGTTTTGGAGTTAGATTATTGGATCTTCAAATTTGGTTTTGTTTATTAGGCTTTGAATTGATGGTTTTAAGTCCAAATATATCTTATTTTATTTAAAAGAATTTGTTGAAATCTAGAAAATTTTGGAATTAATCCAAGAATCGAAATCAAGGGAAAAAAGGAAACAAATCATGGGATTTTACAAGTCAGTGATAGATTAAGGGATTAGCTTTGGTTCTGATTGTCATAAAAAAGGAAAAATCCTAGAAATCAAATCGCATTCATTTAGTTGATTTTTTTTCCAAATTAAGGGGATTAAAACCTTGTTAAAAAAAAGATAAACAAAGATTACAAGGGGATGATAGAGAAATCAGGGGCAGAAATCAACTATACAGAGATCATAGAAGGCAATTAGCAATTGAAAGATTAAAGATTTTTTCATATTTTCTTTAGGTTTTTGATTTATGAGTTTTTAGGTAAATTTAATTATGAGTTTTGAACTTTTTTTGGGTTTTTTAGTTTGGGTTTTGGGTTGCAGTTCAATTCTAAGATGGTGTTAGAATTTTTCATTTTTTGGATATCTGAAATTTGGTTTAGGTGATGGGTTTGGGTTTTGTTTTTGGTTATTGGAAACTTGATTTATTTTCTTAGGAAATTGATTTTTGAAGTTTGTGGGAATTTGTGGATTTTGGAAAATTTTTGGAGTTTTGAGCCTTTTTAGACTTTTTTGGAATTTTTGGAATTATGTTAGAATTTT